CAGGAGGAAAACATCTGAGGAGGTAAGATTACTTTAACGTTTTTTGAAAAATTGGCTTATTTTGTGTCTTGGCTGTATTGTGTAGTGTTTTACTTTGCTTCTTTGAATAATCTCGTTTCATGATTTTCATTCCACAATTTCATACCTGCTTTGAGTAGCACTAGCCACATATAATGTGTGCTTTCATAATATTTTGCTGTGTTTTTACATTATAAAATATAATAATGCATTTTTTTTTTGTTATGGATATACCCTAAATATTATTTTTTGAGCATTTGTCTATCCTTCTCCAAGTATTACCTGACAAAGTAATTTCAAAGTTTAGAACATTTCATAATACAATCATCCATGCATTGTTTCTATCTTTCTTTTATTATTTTTAACTTCGTATATGTCAAATTTTCTCCTGCCTGCACGAGTCATTGTGCAGGAGTTGGTTTATATCCCGCACGGTTGTTCAGTCCATAATGGAGCCTCTCACTCACACCCAAGGGCGTCAGAAGCATCCGTAATGCGTGTGTGTGTCTGTGTGTGTGTGTGTGGGGGGGGGACACAATGAACGTGTGTAGGTGTGTGTGCGCATATGTGCGCGCGTGCACGCACGTTACAAAAAGGTGTTCACTAGTGAACAAAAAAGCAGCATTTCACCTAGATTTCCTTTAATTCCACACATTTAAAACATGTTTCTCACCAAGTTTTTATAAATTCTGCTGTGGGCTTTAAACACATTTTAACTTTAATACACTTTATTACAGAGCATCAGATCGGCATTATTTGTTTTTATAGAGAAATAAAAAAAAAACATCACCAATGGACTTTTTTAAATTTGTGTTCAACACTCCTCATCTAAATGGTGTTTCTCATGAAGCTTGAGGACAATAAGGTGTGGGGGTTTAAAGACATTTCAACTTTAATGCACCTGAACACACCACGTCTCTTACACCTGCAGCGCCTGACAGCGTCACAGTTACTGCTAAGCTAACATGCTACAGATGTAGCGCTCCACTCAAGCATCCTCCTAACATGAATACATGTTTATGATCAACCCTCTGGTCAACCACTGCCCGCACTAATCTGCTAAACTGGCGAGCGAGTAACATAGATACCTCCTCCACCTCCTTCACCTGTGCGCGTTTTCTGCCGAGGCAAGAGGCAGGAAGCGACAGTGGAGAGTTGGAGGTAACCAGGAAAACCTGGAGTGGAGTTTTAGTGGCTTGAGTATTCTCCTTTTAATCAAGTGGAATGGACTCGTTCACGAAGAAAGAGAAACTGCGCCGCTTGAACTAATGTTTTATAGTAAATGTGTGTGTGTGTGGGGGAGGGGGGTTCAAATGAATGCTTTTTTTAATGTAGGGGGGGACTTGTCCCCTTCACATATAATGGCTGCGACACCTATGCTCACACCTACAGACCATTTAGAGTTGTCAGAACCTAACATACACATTTTTAGTGTGTGGGAGGAATCAGGAGTTGCCCTACCACGAGGTAGCACCTGTGTTTGTGGAAAATCTGCGACTTTCTTTGCTGTAAAATGACATTGTTGACCACTGCGCCTCCCAAGTAATTAGAATAAATAAATAAATAATAAACACGAAACAGAGGGAATGATTATTTATTTTATTATTTTATTTGCATCCCAAGTAGACAACTATTTTTTGTTCTGAGATAAGGGAAAAAAAAAAAAAAACCTCCGGTGATGACCGCTGTTCGTGGTGCTGAGAAGACCCATGCAGCCCCGTGAATAATAACACACTCATTATGATCACTGAACTGTGGTTTTCTGTTTTTAATGATAATGTTATGCTATTTACCACAATCTTTAAAGTGGTTAATGGGTTCTATCTAAAGATGAGAGTAATCTTTGCTCCACCGCTCGTTTTTCTGTATAAAGCAAACACTTAATTCGACTATTGCCGGGTTTTTTTTGTGTTTTTTTTTTTTTTTTTTTTTTGCCATTAGAACAATTTTGTGTGAAAAATAGCATTATCGTTTCAAGTGATGATAAATGAGGACAACCTATATTTACATTCATACATACATAGACATTATTTTTTGTTGAGCGGGGATCAGCATAATTTTATGTTTCTTAAAAAAATATATATTATAAAGGAAATCATAGCCATGGGTGTCACTGTTATCAAAGATCAACTATAATACACTCCCCTCTCTCAGTCTTTTGTTTCCTGCTGAACGGGGCAGAGGACGTGTTAGAGTCGACGGCAGCAGCGGATCGACCGTTCTCTCTTTGCAATTTGTGACTTTGTTTTATTTAGAAAATTTCAAATCAACCATTGTTTATAGCGCTGAGTGCCTTCTGTGTGTTTTCTCGTGGGACAATGGAGACTGCTGTAGCTCGGAGGAGAAGCTGCTTCGTTTTTGCCCTCCATTTGGTCCTGCAGCTTCATGTCGGGAGACAGGCTTTTGCTCAGATTCGGTACTCGATTCCAGAGGAGGCTAAAGACGGAACCTTTGTTGGAAACGTTGCAAAAGATCTGGGCCTGGACATCTCATCACTGACTGACCGACGCTTTCGAGTTGTGTCTGGAAATAAGGACTCGTTTTTTGAGGTAAACGCGGACAATGGGGTTCTTTACGTCCGTGAGAAAATAGACAGGGAGGAGCTCTGCGAGGGGAGCGGCGCTTGTCTGATGGAGCTGAAGATTCTGGTTGAAAACCCGCTGGAGATGCATTACGTGTCGGTGGAGATCACAGATGTTAACGATCACGCTCCTAGTTTTCCTGAAAACCAGCAGACAATAGAAGTAGCAGAGCAAACGGTGCAGGGGAGACGATTTCAGCTTCACGCTGCTCGCGATCCAGATGCGGGAGTTAACTCTATCCGCACCTACACGTTAACACCAAACGAACACTTTGAATTAGACATCCGTCAAAGCGACGATGATAAAATACCTTTTTTAGTGTTGAAGAAGTCGTTAGACCGAGAACAGAAAGACAACCATTCACTTGTGGTCACAGCTGTGGATGGAGGGAAACCTCACAGATCAGGGACGCTGAACATTTCCGTTATTGTTCTCGATGTAAATGACAACCGTCCAACTTTTATCCAAGATATATACCAGATTTCGATAAAAGAAAACCTACAACCTGGCACCGTGATACTTTACATGAATGCAACAGATCCTGATGAGGGTGAGAACGGGAAAATAGAATACAGCCTTGCAAAAACCTTAAGAAAAAATGTAAATGAGCTTTTTGAGCTGGATAAATTAAGTGGGGAAATTAGGGTGAAAGGGCTAATAGATTTTGAGGAAAATGATGTCTTTAAATTGGATATTGAGGCATCAGATAAAGGAACCCCACCACTTACAGGAGAGTGTAGGGTTATAATAAAAGTACTTGATGTTAATGATAACCCTCCAGAAATAGAAATCACATCAAAGTCAAACACAGTTTCTGAAAACTCTAAAATTGGCACAGTTATTTCATTACTTAGTGTTACAGATAGAGATTCAGGAGTGAATGGAAAAATACTTGCAAGCATATTCTCAGATGGGCCTTTTGAATTAAAGCCATCATTTAAAGAAAATATATATTCAGTTGTAACCAAAGGCTTTTTAGATCGAGAGGAGGTGTCTGAATATGACATAACAATAAAAGCCACAGATTGTGGTGAACCTGAATTGTCTAGTTCTAAAACTTTTACCGTTCAAATAACTGACGTTAATGACAACACACCAAAGTTTCCACACAGTCCATTGCTGTTTTACCTGGAAGAAAATAATGTAGCAGGCGTTTCACTATTTTCTGTTAGTGCGACGGATAATGATGTGAATGAAAATGCAGCTATTTCATACCATGTAGTCAGAGCAAATGATGCTACAAGCTTCTTAAATATAAACGCTGACACTGGACAGATAACCGCGCTGAAAAGTTTTGACTTTGAGAGTCTGAAAACTTTCCAGTTCCAAGTTGTAGCCACAGATTCTGGAGCTCCGTCTCTGAGCAGCAACGTCACAGTGAACGTGTTCATTCTGGATCAGAACGACAACGCTCCAGTCAT